GAGCAGTTTCTTCAGGCCACCTGTTACAACAAGCGACCTCAGAACACTCCCAGCAATCTTGTCTCCAATCCTTTCCTCCCCCGGCCCCAGTAACAGCCCATAGTCATTGAAAGCATCATAAATTACTTGTCAAAAGTAAATATCTATGAAGAAATGCAGCTGTGTTGTATGGAAGGGACCTAATTGTACTGACTGGTTCCCTTCCTCCCCAATCAGTTAAAACCACAGGAGAGAGCAGTGGGACGATGGGTTATAAAACTCCCCGCAATCCCACCAGGAGGGGCCTCTACAGCCAAAGCAAAATGAACGTCTAAACAAAGATTCTGCTAATGTAGGCCAAGCCCAGAACTGTCAGGATAATTGAGGATAAGAGTTCCTTTGTTCTCCCTTCCCACTCCCTGCTATTTTCTCCTGTCTCAAACCTCCATTTAGCCTTATCCTCAGCAATTGCCCTACCTTTTTGGCATTCCAAGAATACTTCTCTGCATCTACCTCTTCCTGTGTACACCCACCCCTTCCTGCTCAATAGTCTTTTGTGACTTGGTTAACTCAAGTAGCTGCACTGATTTGGAGTCATGCCTGTAGTGCAGTTTTTTCATGATGGGACCAGAACCAGTAAACGGGCACACTTGTTAGCATGGAGCAGAGGTTTAGGGAGGCAAAAGGGCAGTGAGGGCAAAGAATCCAACGTGCCTGGTGATAAGTGGAAGCTTTTGGCCTTTATTAGAAAGGCCCAGAATGCTTGGGTGGTTCAGTCAGTTGAGCATCTGACTCTTGGTTTCGGCTCAGGTCATGATCTCAGGGTTGTGAGATGCAGCCCTGCCTCAGGCTCCACGCTTGGTGTGGAGCCTGCTTAAGATTCTCTCTCCCTCGCTTCCTCTGCCCCTCTCCCCCTCCCCTCAGAAAAAAAAGAAAGGCCCAGCAATGATAATAAATGAAGATAACAATAGCTGCATTTGAAGACCCATGTCATGCTCAGTTACTTATTACAGAGCTTTGAGGCCCTATCATTATCATCATCACCATCATCAGTGCTTTAGGAAACTAAGGCTCTAAGAGATTAAAAAGAATTCCACAGTTAGTCAACTATGGCATCAGATTCACACCCAGGTTTGACTCCCAAGTCATTGCTCTTGTATAATGGTCTACTTCCCTTGTGGGCATCTTAGCAGATTGGCATAGTGTGAACACAGACATGTCGGCAACAAGATGACGCATGGAAATGCAGCCAGGTAGCCATGTGGTGGGCATTAGGAAAGTCTGGTTGGAAGTGATAGAACATCTGCTATGGGTTTAGGGTTCATGGGCAGGATTTGAACGCTGAAAGTATTGGCAAAAACCAAGTAGGGTCCAGTGTTAGGAGAATGAGGGCTCTTAGCAGTTATAAGTTGCAGGCCCTCTATCCAAGTAGAAGTAATCATCTGGAATAGAACATGGGGACTGAGTCCTAACAGCCAGTTACTAAGAAGAGCTAGGGAAAAGGATAAAGTGGGAACAACAAAGAAATGGGAAAAATGGATTTCATTTTCACTTGAGATATGGACCTGTGAATTGTGGAATTTGCTCTAATGGTTATAGAATTGGCCCCAGACCAGGGTGTAATGGAGTCTGAAGGTGGAGATTCAGACCAAGAGGGAACCTTCTGGGGCTTCCTTCTGTGTTAGTAGAAATTTAAGTGGAAATTACAGAGAGTCAGACTCAATTTAAGTATAAAGAGGATCCTCTAAATCAGGACTCTGTGATGGAATAGAATGTTGCATAAAAGGTGTTATGCTTCCTCTCTCTAGGACTTTTGAAAATGTTTCCTTGCTTACTGGGCATTTAATGACTTCGGTTGCACTTCTTCACTCTTACTGTGACCCCAAAGCCCTTCTGATGTGCCCCCAATCTAACTCCTTGACCTCCCCTTTATCTATTTCACTCACTGTTGTCTGTCAGGGTTGCTCAAAGGAGGTGCTGATATCTTGGGTGGGAAAGTTCTTTCTGGAGCAGGACCACTTTGAATAGTGCTAGAAATTTAGCATCCTTGGCCCCTGTTTATGAACTAGCAGCAAGACCACCAGGCTATCATGTGACAATCAAAAGTGCCCCTCCACCTTTCTGATACTCCAGTGGAGACTCGCTCTGTGGCTTTTGGTATTCCTTCACTTTAACATGCCAAGCTTATTCCCATGTCAGGGCTATCACATTTGCCTTGGATGTTGTTTTATTTTTTATTTTTTATTTAATTTTATGTTAAATTAAATGACATTTGGTAGTACTTCTCATTTTTCAGTCTCCATATCACTTTCTCCAAGAGCATGTCCCAGCCCCCATTCTGAGCATTTATCATGATCTGGAATTACTTTCCTTTTTTTGCTTCTTTCTCTTTCTCTTTTTGTCTCCTATCACTAGAATGATATCTTTATGAGAAGAGGAACTTGTTCTTCACATTCATCCCTATATGTTGGCACTTTGAGTACCTGTAGATAGTAGGTCCTCGAGTATTTTTTGAGTTTTATGAATTAAAAAATTGAATTTTGAGTATTATGAAGGGACAGATGATCACTTTCTGAGATCCTATATAAGAGATTTCTTTTTTTAAAGTTTATTTATTTATTTTTAAGTAATTCTACACCCAACGTGGGGCCGAATCACAACCTCAAGATCAAGAATTGCATGCTCTTCCAACTGAGCCAGCCAGGCATCTCCTATATAAAACATTTCTGCATAGTATAGAAAATTGGGTTCCCTATCAACTGTAAGATCCTGCTGCATTCTTTTCTATAGCTTCTGGAGTGTTTGAAGAAGAAATTCTCCTTGGCTAGCCTCTAATGTCCCATTTACATTTATTTACCTGGAGATAAATGTGACTATATAATTAACAGCATAATTAAGTCCCTCTTTTAATGATAAAAGAGATCTTTACCTCATCAAGACAAAACTGCAGGACATGGATTCATAAATATGACATCCAAAGATTGAACATACCCCAGTCCTTCCAGAATGGTTGGGAAGATAATGGAATCACTGGAGAGTCCCGAGCAAGCATCTTGACATAAAATTAAATTAAAAATAAAAAATAAAACCCGCAAGAAATCATTCATCCCATTTTCGTTGTATATCCCCTGTATTCCTGGCATTCTGATGGCCCTGGGGGAATGGCAATTTTGGGGGATCATTTCACCCAGTTGCCAGTGAAATCAAGGATGGCCCCACAGGAGGCTTATTTGGTTCAAAAGCATGTCTGTCCTCCTACAACTTAGGCTTAGAGTGAACTGGAGTCTGGTTGGCCCATGAATACCATTGTTTGCAGGTACCAAAAGCCTTTTTGTAACCCAGGCCCCAGGAGTTTTTTGAGGGTCAGTAGTTCCAGTGTTCTGAACAGAGCATGGCTGAGGTTGCTTTATGTTTAGTCTGAATGTTTTCAATTCATGTACACATCTCCTTCCTGGGTCAAATGGCACCTGGTTTCAGAAATCAAACACTTCACAGACCTCAAACTCCTATTCCTACCCTGCTAGTCTTTCCTGATACTTTTAGTCCCACTCCCACCCTTCCCTCCTTTGCTGTGTTCCAAGGGTGTTGACCCTTGCAAATGACATTTCCCAGATCTCTTGCCAACTAGTTTCAGTTGGGTTACGCCAGTGTGAGGCACTGGAGTAGACTGGAGAGCAGAAGGAGGGAGCCCCTGCAGGTTTTCCCTTCTCCCTGCATCAGTGTCCAGCGCTGGCTATGTCTCCTCTCTAAACAGCTCTTGCTAGGTGACCTCTACCCTGAGCTCCTGTAACACCATTTGTGAGGGTAAACCTAACATGTCGGCTTGGCTAGGCTGTGGTGCCCAGTTGTTAGGTCACACACTAGATGTGGCTGTGAAGGTAGTTGTGGATGTAATTAACATGTACCATCAATTGACTTGAAGTAAAGCAGATTGCCCTTCATAATGTGAGTGGGCAAAGACTGAGATTTCTCTAAGAAGAAGCAATTCTCCCTCAAGGCTGTAACATCAAATCGTACCTGAATTTACAGGCTGCCAGCCAGCACTAAAATTTCCAACTTGCCAACCCTAACAGTCACGTGAGCTAGTTCCTTACAATCTCTCTCTCTTTTCTTTTTCCTTCTCTCCCTCCTAGGTTCTGTTTCTCTGTAGAACCCTGGCTAATACACTACTTCTTCCCATTATCTTCCCTTCCTTATGGGTCTTAGTGGCTTTCTAGAACTGGTATTTCTAGAAGTGCCTCACTCTCCACTGAAAGCTCTTTAGTGCTTCCAGCTCCTTTGTGAACCAGTTCCCCGCATTCAGTTTTCTCTTTTGAAGTACAGTGTGGGTTTTCCTAACTGAATTCAACTTTATTCTAAGGAAGCTTCTCAAGTCATTCAGAACTTAAAGTACCCTTCTCTTAGGACAGGTAGCCCTGTTCCTTTAGCACCTAAATAAAAAGGGATACCACTGAAAACCTTAGAAAAAAGAGGAGACCATATTACTATGCCATTCTCTGCTATTGCTTAGTGAAAAAATAACACTTTGGGAAGAAAAAATATTATTGAGTGTGGCAGCCCTTTGGTTGACCAGGTCACTGAAGGAGTGAGTGACTTTGGGTATGGGTGTCCGTGAGGGTGGGGAGAGGGAAGGTAGGTGGGTGAAGCTGTGACTGAGTGTGAGAGAGGGAGGGTGGAATGGGGTAGGTGGGATTCAGTGTGAGGGAGTGGCACTGGGTGTTTGTGTATGAGTCAGTAGGACTCAGCATGGGAACTTGTGTGTAGTGGGACTTGGTAGTATGTGTACGTGTGTATTGTGTGTATGTGTGACTTGATATGTATGCCCACATGCATGGGACTCCAAGTGAGTGTGGGTGAGTGCATGTGTGAATGGGGCTGGGAATTTCTGTACCTGAGTGCAGGGACTAGGTGTGAGTGTATGAGTAAACTTGTGTTATGGACTGAATGTTTGTGTCCCCACCCCTGCCCCCAGAAATTCATATGTTGAAACTTAACCCTTGATGTGATGGTGGGTTCTTTAGGAGATGCTTCATCTCTCATGAATGGATTAGTGTTCCTGTAAAAGAGACTCCAGAGAGCTCCCTCACCTTTCTACCATGTGAGGATACAGCAAAAGACATCTTTTATGAATCAGGAAGAGGACTCTTACCGGACACCCAATCTGCTGGCATCTTGATTTTGGACTTCCAGCTTCCAGAACTGTGAGAAGTAAATGTTTATTGTTATTAATTCACTGAGTTTATGGTATATTGTTGTGGAGCCTGGACAGACAAAGAAAGCTTGCATATGATGGGGAAAGTCTGCATGAGTGCTGCAGGTGAGCAAGTGTGAGTGCATGCAGAGGAGAGAGGCTCTGTTAATGAGGTTGGGTGACTGTGACAGCAAATGACAGAGTGAGTAGGATAGAGTGGGACCAGGTGTGAGTAGGACTGTGTTAGACTAGGTATGAGTGTGACTGCATGGGACTAGGTGTGAGTGTGACTTTGTGGGACTACGTGTGAGTGGAACTGCATGTGACTAGGTGTGAGTGGGACTAGGTGTCACTAGGTGTGAACTGGAACATTTTGTGACAGGGTATAGCTTGGGGTATGAATATGAAGAGTATCAATGGCCCTGAGTATGAATGTGGCTCCATCCTGAGTGTGCAGGATGGTGAGTTTATGAGGGAGAGGGACCAGTGACTGTGTGACTGAGTGAGCTGACTAGCCTGAGTGTGAGTGTGGGGGGCTGAGTGGGACTGAGCAAGACTGAATGGAAGTCAGTGGGCTGACTAGTTGTACGTGTGAAGGAGTACGAGTAGGATGCTATGGCAGTGAGCAGGAATGTGAATGAATGGGACTGCTGTAGATGATTATATGAGTAAGCATGAGCGGGGCTGAGTGATTGTAAATGGCAGGACTGGATGTGAGTGAGTGAGTGTATAAAACCAAGGGCCTGGGGGTGGCTGCTTATGAGGGTGAGTGAGCATGTGCCCCTGCATGTGTTGAATGGGACTGAGTGTGTCGGTCCACATACTGGTACTGCTGGGAGTCAGACAAGGGAGTGGACTGAAATCAAGTAGGCATTTGAGGATTAGGGGACACAGTGAAGTTAGAATCCAATGCAAGGAAGTCACTAACTTGGCAGGAGCAAAGAGAGCATAATTATTGTAGACTAAGTCAAGGAAAGGAATAATAAAAAAAAAAAATCATGAGAACAGTAGGGCTGGGTGAGAGAATAAGGTCATCCTCTACCCAGCAGCATCAGCACTTGCACCCCATCAGGATAGAAACCAAGCAAACACCTGGGTAGTAGACATGACCTGCCAGCTATAGGGAGAAACCCACTTAGATGCTTCTTGATAGAGCACAGACGAATTCCAGGCTGTGGATCATTTCAGTGCTCATTGATGAGACCAGGAAGATGGTTGCAGCCCAGTGAGGAGGGAGATGAAGTCCTGACAAAAGAAGTAAATTGTTTAGTTAATCGAGCTTTTTATTTTCTCCCTTCTCACTTCCAGCATCCATACAGACTTCAAAAGTTTCATTCAACACAGGAATCTCAACACACACATCAAAGAGGTTTGATGAGGCAGGCTGGTCTTGTCAGCATTGCCTTTATCCCATCTCTGGGCAGCGTGAATCCCGTTATGTTCTGTGCCTCTCCTGCCCTGCTCTCTTTCTTTCAGGTTCATTTCTGTTACAGAGCTAATTTCCTACAGTTAAAAGTGCTTCTTGGTTTCAGTTAAGCAAACAAATAAATTAAATTGAAAGTCTGGGTCATAGCCACATGTCAGGTTTGTTTGCAATTAAGTTATATAATAAATTATTTAGAGGGAAGGTGTGTCTTTCATATATAAATAACCAAATATTGATATGGCCACTAGATAACATTTCTGTTGAAACCAAGGAATATAATATACGATAATTTCTAGATGATAAATCAAGGGTTTGTTACCTAAGTTCTAAGGACATATGAACTAAGGTCCAAGAACTCCCTGAAATTATATGCATCAATATGAATATGCATTTTTCTGGATGAAACATCCATAACGTGCATTAAAGTCTCAGAGGGAGGCTTTTGACCCCCAAGGTTATGAACTACTGTTTTAGAGATTACCACCATAAAGACATTGAGTTTCATTGTGGGAATTCTGTCTTTGTGATTTCACTAAAGCTGTTCCTGCTGCTTTGACTAGTGCTTGTTCTGTCTGAGCCTTAACCTTCAGTGGGTTGCTATTATTAGAAATATTTGCAATCCTTAAAGTCAACATTAAAGGTAGACAAAAGAGGGAATTTGCCATCTATTTACACTAACAGCAATATAAATAAATTCAGCTTGTGTAATTATTATATATACAATTGTATATATACATATATATATAGTTGTACCAGTTTCCATGGCAACTACTTCTTTAAAATATTCTACTCTTATAATACTTAGGTTTATTAATTTGATTACCTTATTCTCAGGTATTGGCATACCCATAATTTTGTTCGTTTTATATAATATTCTTTCAAAAATGAGAAAAAACTCTTTCTTTGACTATTTCTTTTTATCTGTCTTATGATGACCAAGAAGGAGTTGCATCTAATTTTAATAGGACATATAGGGTAGATCCAGATTTTGTGGGAGCTGAAGCTTATAACAGCTTTAGGCCCCTCTTTAAGGAAAATAGTAAGTATTATGAATACAGCAATGCTAGGGATTTTCTCTGGGCCTTGGGCAAATGAGAGGTCCTGAAGTTTAGGCTTAATTAGCATCGCTGCATGTGAATACATGCACAGGGGGAACAGATCTATTTAACTTTTTAATGTTGGGGTCAGGGATTAACTTTGGCTATTTTACTTCAATTTGAAAATAAGTCTACCCTTAAGAAGAGAGCTACCTGGTCAAATCATTTGTTCAATGTTAGCTTGAGGGATTTATACAAATTTAGGCTATGCCTGAATCCACACGAATTCAAGTACCACAAACATCTAATACCAAATGGGCAGCTAAGAGGAGAACTGATTCAGTTTACAAGTTCAAAAAAAAAGGGAAAACTGACTCTAGAAACTTGTTCTTTGAAGATGCTCAGAGAAGTGTCCTGGTTTAGAAAGAAAAAAAACACAAAAAAGAAGCTTTGTTCTAAAAGGCAGGTTTTTGGTTTAGGAAGAGGGTTGCTTCATAGTCATTGGCTCTGAATAAATTAGTAAGGAGAAACCAGTGTTATCATAGAGCTATCAGTGGGACTTAGTTGTTGCAAAAATCATGGTGAATGGGATGATAGAACAAGAGAGATTGGAAGGAATTACATGGAAAAAAATGTTTTATACAAACAGCATTGGTATGAGCATACAAACACAATTTCCAAATGTGCTCTTAATAGTTTCATTTGATAATTAATTTGTAGGCTGCTAACAATTCTGAATTTATTGAAGAAATAATCTCATTGCAGCAAAATAAAGCTTGTCTGGCTTTGGGGAGCAACAGGCTTAGGAGAAAAACTTGTAAAGAAATTCTTACTATAAGGTCAAGGTCAAAACATTGCATTTCTTCTGCTTCACTGCATAATGTAAAGATGTCTGGAAAGGAGCCAATCAATTAAAAATATAGCTAGAGGGAATTGTTCAGGGAGAAGGCTTGTGGCAGTAGCAGCCCATGAAAACATTCCCTTCTCTTTCTGTCTTCCCAAGTGAAGAATAAATCCTGATTAGCCCTTTATTAAAGAAGGGTACTCATTTGCCAGTGAAATGTAGAACTTGCATCTCCCTAACAACATGGTATCCAATTATCCTTATAGAAAATAATTTTATTTTTCTGTTAACGCTTTAAAAACATGATGTTTCCTTGCGTGTGATTATTCTTTTAGTGTGTACAAATAACCCCATTTAGAGTAATATTTAAACTCTGCTTTGGATTTCTTGAGAGTTTCTGGTTTGATTAGGACATGTGAGTCGATAAAGTAAGATGTTAGTATGGTGACATAGAAAGAATACACGAAGGGTGGTCCCCACCCAGGACTTATAAAACTTGAAAATATATCATACATAATTGTGAGTCTAATCAGTATAATATATGTGGTAGTCATTAACAAAATTCTCCCAGTGTGTCTGTCTCTTCACCTTTTGGGTACATGGTACGATTGAATTCCCTAATTCTGCGGTCCTTTTATGTTTAGGTTTGGGCCACGTGAGTAGTTCTAGCTAAATATTTATGAGCAAAGATGACATTTGTTATTCTGGCTGATTGCAAGGCATTTTGCTCTGTGATGTTTGAAATGGTGGCAGTTCTGTGAGTCTGTGTTTCTGAATGGCTAAGAAGAGCAGAACGCCTGGTTAAGCTGTTTCGGATATGTAACATAAGAAATAAATCTTTTCTCTTTAAATCATTAAAAATTTGGGGTTGTTTGTTATCACAGCATACCTGAGCCTCCTCAGACTTCTGTAATTATCATAAGGGCAGATTTGGGGACAATTTACCGAAAGTATAATTCTGGTGACTTAGGTTGGAGAAAAATCCCATTTGATACTTGGAGCTGCTATCTCTAGAAATAAAGGTCAGTTGTTTCCATTTTTACAGATTGTACTTTGTTTTTTGACTAGGACTCCACAGAGTTTATTGTACTGTGAAAATTTTAGACCTTAAGCTGCATAAATCACTTGGAAAATTCATTTTTGCCTCTAGAGTTGTTCATGGACTGTTTTCAGTAGTAGAAACCAGTTCCCACTGCCTAGGATACCCCATTAAGCAATGCTACTTTTTTTTCTTAGCAAAGTTGAAGCTTCAACTAAACATAACCTTGATTTATCATATATATTAATTTGATGCAAAAATTGATAGGTTTATTTTGGGGGTTCTGTCATTAAACACATTTTATTGATGTAGAATTTTACAGCCACAGATATGATCAAGGGTTGGGGAATGCCTAAAAATGCTGACTTTGTTGGCAGAGTCTAGATGACTCTTAATTTCCAAAAGAATGTCACTTTTTTGAAGCAGGAGCCAAATGTTGTATTGTTTTAGCCAAGCTTCTTGAAAGATTAGCCTATAATTTCCTTCCCTGCTTTCTGGCATTTTTACTCACTGTTGTAAAGTTTTAGTCACCATCTCTTCGCTCAACCTGCTCTGGAAAAGGTCTCTAATTTGCTCCAAATCACCAAGATCTTTTAACACATTTCAGACTCATTATTTTGATTTCTTTGCAAGCTTTTGATACTGACCCATCGTTTCCTTCTTAAAACTCT